GAGGGGGAGGGGCCTCAGCAGGATATGATGCCATAGAGAGTCAACCCTCCAAAGCTGCCGTTTTCTGCAGGGGAGCTGATCTCTGATCTCTGTAGACTGGAGGTCAGTTGTAATGGGCAGAAATTTCACCTGCACCCAAAGCGAATGTTCGCTTGAAGAGGGGGAGGGGCCTCAGCAGGATATGATGCCATAGAGAGTCAACCCTCCAAAGCTGCCGTTTTCTGCAGGGGAGCTGATCTCTGATCTCTGTAGACTGGAGGTCAGTTGTAATGGGCAGAAATTTCACCTGCACCCAAAGCGAATGTTCGCTTGACTTTGCCAGGCCTTTCGTACTAAAGAGGGAGGGGTTACGATTGAATCATAGAATCATAGGATGTTACAGTTGGAAGGGACCCTGCAGGTCATCTAGTCCAGCCCCCTGCACTCTGCGGGAGCACAGCCGAAAGAGAGCCCTACAACATGCCCGAAAGACGGTCGTCCAGCCTCCGCTTGAAAACATCCAGTGAAGGAGCATCCACCACCTCCCGAGGCAGACTGTTCCACTGCTCAACCACTCTGACAGGATTGGATCGTTACACACAGTTTTAAGGAACATTTGCCGTTATAGCTTGCGCCCCGGTCTGTGCAGTAGGGTCGCCAAACTTCCAGGTGTGGCCTGGAGATCGCCCAGAATTCCGAACTTCTCTCTCTCTCTCTTTCCCGGGCCCGTCCACTGATCTGTCGGAGAAGCTCAGAAAACACACCTGGGCGAGCCGCGTTTTCAGCCAATTTGCAGCTCGGCATGCCATCGTTCTCACTTGCCAGTGGCGCTTGCGTGTTTTTTAAAATTGGGAAGGCGTGCGAGCGACGGAGCGCCGCCAAATGCCTGAGCGGGAAGCGGCGGCGGTAAAAGGTGGCAACCACTTTTGCACCTTTCCCAAAACCCTTCATCGAAGTGCCATCCACCGCCCCCCCTGCTGACTTCTCAGGCTGTGATGGAAAGGGGCGGGGGAATCGATCAAGCCAAAAGGGAGACGCCGTCCTACAGGCCGAAAAGGGGCGGGCACTGATTCGGGAGAAGAGGAGGCGCAGGCAGCCCGGGAAGGGGCAGGAGGGTACCTTGTGCAGACGGCCACTTTTTCCGGATCGTGGATGTAGGGGCAGTTCTCGCCGCGGTTGCATTTGCCAAAGCGATTGTAATACATGCAGTACTCTTTCTTCTTCTCCTTCTTCTGCTTCGCCTGCCGAATGATGGCCAAGCTGCGCTGGACGGCCCGGCTACACGGGGGGAAGAGATGCAGACAGAGAGCATCGATCAGAGACGCTGCCAACTTCCCCTCCCGTCTAACGTGACCGGGTCTCCGTCATTCCCTCTGAAACCCTTCACGACCCCGACCCCTCCTCTCACCACCCTCCCACCCAGTGTTCCCTCTAAGCTGAGTCAGTGTGAGCTGGCTCACAGTTTTTTAGCCTCTGGCTCACACATTTTTGCCTTCGCTCAGGAAGGAGGACTCCTAAAAGTAGCCAAATCAATCACTCACTCACAACTTTAATGCCAGTGGCTCACAAAGTTGATTTTTTTTGCTCACAAGACTCCGCAGCATAAGAACATAAGAGACGCCAATGTTGGATCAGGCCAAAGGCCCATCCAGTCCAACACTCTGTATCACACAGTGGCCAGAAATACCAGGGGCCATCAGGAGGTCCAGCAGTGGGGCCAGGACGCTAGAAGCCCTCCCACTGTTGACCCCCCCCCCAAGCACCAAGAAGACAGAGCATCCCTTGCCCCAGAGCCCCTATCTATACCTTGTGGCTAATAGCCACTGACGGACCTCTGCTCCATATGCTTATCTAATTCCCTTTTGAAGCTGTCCATGCTTGTAGCCGCCACCACTTCCTGTGGCAGTGAATTCCAAGTGTTAATCACTCTTTGGGTGAAGAAGGACTTCCTTGGGTGAAGAAGGGCTTAGAGGGAGCATTGCTCCCCACCTACTGATAACCGGCCATACCTAGTTACGTCAGTGGGCCGGGATTCTCCCTACGGCACGCGTGACTATTGATTTTATATGTTTTAATGTGTTTTAAATTTTATTGTATTTATCTAAATCTTGTGACCCGCCATGAACCCGTTTATGGGATGGGCGGGATATAAACGCGAAAAATAAATAAAAGTAAATAATAAATATTGGCCCCGCCCCCAAATACTTCCAGACGACAAAGAAAATCATCTGAGGAGCCTTGTGAAAGGGAAAGCGTGTTCATTCATACAGAGCGCTTTGTCGCCTAATCCTTCTGGACCAGAATAACGCCGCTGCGGAGTAGCGCGGGACAAAAACTGAATTTTGCTTGCCAATTTGAGGACTATTGGCTCAGCGGTTGGGGTCTTATCACTTCCTTATTGGTAAGACAAGGCTGGAAAATGGAGTTGAAGGAGTGGGGGGGGGGAAAAACCCAGGTGTTTAGGGCATCGAATTCGGCAGCAGCACCAAAGGAGTTCCCGGTATTCCTGAGCTACATGGAAATTGGCTTGAACCAATGGAACATACATAAGCTTAAAAGAAATAGTCCAAATATACGACTCAGAAGAAGAAGAAGAGAGATTGGATTTATACTCCGCTCTTCACTACCCAAAGGTGTCTCAGAGCGGCTTACAAACTCCTTTCCCTTCCCCTCCCCACAACAGACACACCCTGGGAGATAGGTGGGGCTGAGAGAGCTCTTGACAGAAATGGCTCTTTTTCAAGAACAGCTCTTATCAGAACCATGGCTTGCCCAAGGTCATCCAGCCAGGTACAAGTGGAGGAGTGGGGAATCAAACCCGGTTCTCCCAGATTAGAGTCCGCGCACTTAACCACTACATCAAATTGACTTAAAGCTTAGTACATTCAGAGCTGATAGTTATACATGTACAATTGATGGGTAAAACGTTTGACCAATAGAGCATACGCGTTTCGGCCCCTTCAGGCCTTCCTCAGTAGTCAATATTCCTATAGTACATTAACACACATCCAGAAATGAATATATAAAGGATTTTTCTATAGAACCAGGTGTTGCTTTCTGAAGTTGTCGAAAAGAAGAGAAAAAGGCCAGAAAAAGGCCTGAAGGGGCTGAAACGCGTATGGTCTATCAGTCCAAAGTTTTACCCATCAATTGTACATGTATAACTATCAGCTCTGAATGTACTAAGCTTTAAGAGTCGGATATTTGGACTATTTCTTTTAACCTCATGTATGTTTTATTTATGCGTAAACCATAATCAGCCTTTGTCGCTGATTCGGAGGCTGCAGCTAGTGCAGAATGCGGCGGCCAGGCTGGTTGCGGGTGTCTCGAAATGGGACCACATCCAGCCTGTGCTGAAAGTGCTGCACTGGCTGCCTATAGCATTCCGGATTCGCTTCAAGGTGCTGGTGCTTACCTTTAAAGCCCTACATGGCCAGGGACCGGCATACCTGAGGGACCGCCTTTCCCCGGACAGGTCCCAGAGAGCACTACGGTCGGGGTCGCAACACCGTCTGGCGACCCTGGGCCCTAAAGAG